TTGCTGACTTATGCCTCTACCCACACCCTTCTCATGATCAAGAGCGCTACCCATCTTGTGTGCATTTATCACATTTGACAGGAAACAAAGTTGTATATTTAACTTTATCTTCCCAATATATAGAGGTAGCTAGCATCTCAGAAGGAAGAAGCACTGCATAGCAGATATGTGCATCAGCTGTATAGCACACACCACTTTCAGAACGAATTCCTAGGGAGATGGAAATGATTCCTGTGATGGGAGAAATGCAATAAATGACAAAGATGCTTCTGAAAACCCTCCAGTGGGGTTGACACCCAAATCCCCCGTGATTTTTTGCTCACACACTTCCTGAAAGTGTCCCTCCTGGTCTGCAAACCCCTGATCTGACCGCCTCCTTGTGTTTTTTGGATTAAGCATTGTCCTCCTCGGGATTAAGTCAAACAAATGGCATTTCTTCCTGAATTTTTAAAGCAATAGTTGATTTTATTATCTGTAACTTTCCAAAACAATAAGAGGAGACTACAGCCTAACCTTAGGGCATTGGGTCTCTTATATTTGTTAATTAGTTGGTCTTATTCTGGTCCAGGTTTGCATACCTTTTGAGTTGCAGGTTTTCTATGGTATTTGCTACATTATATAGAGCTGAATTTTTGCAAATGAATAAAATGGGATATAACCTTGATCTTACTAAATATACAGAAACTCCTACTTCCACCCAAAACACTTTTCTAGAAACTTATATTAAAATTTAATGCATAAAAACGAGCACATAGAATTATATATTAGAGAACCATTTCCATCCCCAAGAAGCAGAATTTAGTGGCAAGAAGGTGGATGATATACTGAAAATCTCTGCATTTATTTGACGCTGGGAATATTAATAATTTATTCTGTTTTTAAACCATGATATTTTTATACCATTAAGCATCTTAAATTCAGAGATCGCTGAGGAAAAATAATTAGAAGAATGGCAATGAAATGGAAGCAACAGAATAGAAATCTGGTCATCTCATGCAATTAGGGCCACGGAAAATTTAACCCCAAGACTATTGATGTACAGACCACAAGACCCTCTGCGGTGGCCTCTGACTGTTTCTTTTTGCCCTCCTTTCCCCTCTTCTCACATTCTGACCAACCTGCTCTTTGCAGGCAAGTCATATTGCATCATAGTGCTTAACCTCTGTTCCTGCCACTCTCTCTACTTCTATGTCCCCACCCTGTTTTGCCTTCAGCATCTACTTAAACGGTTTAGTCTGAACTCCCTCCTTTACTATAGCCTTTCTTCAGTTTATAAGATAAGTCTGACCACCCTTTCTTTGTAACATTGTGAGGTCTTGAATAACTTATAGAATGCGATCTATTATTTACTTACATAAGTCCCTTCAGCATACTATTAAAAAGCCCTTGCATTAGAGATGTAGAGCTTAGAACATGGTACATGTTTTGATAACTGGGAACTCAAATTTAGAAATAGTTTTATTAATTATTTGAGAAACTCATACACTGTATTCTAATCATATTCACCCACCTGACTCCTCCCAGACACATGTTGCCCTTCTCTACCCAACTTTGTATCTTCATGTTTTTACAGTCTGTCATGTCCAACTGATGCCACTCAATCACTACTTTATTTTAAAGGACTTATGGATGTGGTTAGCATAAGGAAGAGAGTAGAAAGGAAGGCTTTCTTTTAAAGCCTATGGTCTGATTTAGTATTTGGCCTGACACTTTGGGTGTTCTCAAACACCACTGCAATGACCCTTCCTTTTTCCTGAACTTGGGAATGTTAATATCATTTCATCATCAGCTTGTCCTTATTTTGGCATCTGTGGAGAAATGGGGTCTTGGAGAAGTAATTTATCCACACTTACAGCCATTTGATGGCAGAATTGTAACTAAATGCTCTGTGGTAACCTCCTGACCCTATACTCCTTAACTTCCTTAGAATATGTTTCTGAAAACTGTATGAATCCAATGTGAGAAAGTTGAGACATGCCAACATTGTAATGATAAAACTGTGAAATGGGTACCTCTGGTGGGTCCTGCCAAGTTGTGTGGCTAAGAGAACGTGCCATGAGCAACAGGTCTGGTGCAAGAGGTTTATTGGCAGAAGACGACAAAAGAGCATAAGGTCATCTTGGAGCAGGGACACAAGAGAGACAGACAGACAGACAGACAGAGCAGGTAAAAGAGCAAAAGAAAGAAGAGTGATGGGTTAATACCTTTAAGGGGTGTGTGTGTTGCATAGGGAAGTACACAGGTTGTAGTGACAGTGGAGGTAGCTGCAGCTGCACCCACTCCTCCACCCCACTGTCTGGCAGGAGGGCAGGAGCTAACAAAAACTACCCCAAGAAGAAGAGGTGGACATTCCATTTTATTTCTATCAGTGAATCCATTAACAACGGGTTTTTTATTTTCTTTAATTTTATAAACTTATTACAAAAAAGAGAACAGAACCTCAACCAGTGACTGATGGAAGCAGAGGCAGACACCCACAGCTAAACACTGAACTGAACTCCTGGAACCCAGTGGCAGAGAGGGAGGAGCGACAAAGGGGTCAAGACTGGACTTGTTTAACCCACAGAAACAGCTGACCTGAACAAGGGGGGAGCTCTTGGACCTCAGACTGATGGCTGTGAGGCCAGCATGGGACTGATGCAGACCCCCTGAATGTGGGTGTCAGTGAGGAGACCTAGGCAATCTATGGGGCCTTGAGTAGTAGATCAGTATTTATCCCTGGCATACAAATGGACTTTGGGAGCCCATTCCACAATGAGGGATGCTCTCTCAGCCTGAACTCTTGGGGGAGGGCCAAGGCCCTGCCCTGAATGAAATGACAGATTCTGGATATCCCTCATGGAGGGCCTAATCCTCCCTTGGGAACAGAGTGGGGATTGGGTGAGGATTAGGGAGCTTGGTGGGGGGGCAGGGAGGAGGGGAGGGAGAGGGAGCTGGGATGGACATGTGAAGCAACCTTGTTTCTAATTTAAATTAAAAATCTTAAAAAAAAAGACTTTGCAAATAAATGAAAACATCATACACTAAAATCAGCCAGACCCAAAGTCTATACATAGCAACAAACGTCTATGGTTAGAACAGGCATTTAAACAGACACAATGGAACGTCAGATTAAATTTTACATTTTCAGTATCCAGTGTAGTTTATGCACGTATCCACCACCAACGTCCCCAAAGTCCATGGCAGAATGAGAACAGTTGTGCTGTTGTTGTTGTTGGATTTTTGCTTGTTTTCGTTGTTATTTGCTTTAGTTTTTAACATGATAGCTGGAAAAGTATCTGGCTTACTTCATTTTGACAGAACATTAGCCAGTTTTTCTGCTCCCCTGAGTCTGACTCCTGTCCTCAGCCTGGCCCACAGTCCCCGTATTAGGAAAACAGGAATACAAGCAGAATACAAGAAGAATGTAGCAATTGGTGTTCTGCACACAAAAGCAAAATGGCATTAGGAGTAAAGTGACTTCAATATGCTGCCACTTCTGCCTTGCTAACGGAAAGGGAAAGCCCTCTGAAAACAAAGCAGAAGCATAGATTTAGCGAGTGTCTTCCTTGGTAACTGCCTGAAGCTTGCTAGTAAATTCCATTTCCCATTGGATATGTATCTATGCTTTCAACAATAGAAGAATGCTAACTTGGAAATTGTATATGGGAACCTCGGCTTGTAGCAACAAATAGACCATAAGAAAATCAAACTTCGTTTTATACTTGTTTCTTTTGAAATTTCCTTTTCCTAATAGAGCTAATTTTAAAGTGGCAGCTGCTCTTGTTTTTACACATGTGTTTAAGATGTAGAAGGAAGATAAAGTTTTTAATATGTTTTTTGTTGGGGCTGGTTGGCTAGTGTTGACCGCATTTGATTTCTGGAAGTTTTAGAGCAGAGTATCCATCTACCCTTGTCATGTGGGTTCTGGTCTTCCCATGTTACACACTATGGTGTTTAGTGGTGACAACTTGAGAGGGTCTAGAACCATCTGGGAGGGAGCCTTCCAGGCATACCTGTGGAGGTTATCATAATTAACTTAATTGAGTTGGGAAGACTCTTCTATCGTGGATGGCACCATTCCCCAGGTTTGGGCCCTAGACTATAGAACAAGAGAGAGTTAACTGAGCACAAATGTTCCTCCCTGCTTCTTGACTGAGGATAGGGTATGACCAGCACCCTTAGAACCTTGCCACCATAAGTCCTGTCATGATGGGCTGGAGCCCACAACTGATGAATCCTGCAGTGTCCTGATACAGAGCAGGATGCAGGGACTGCTCCACGGGGTTGGGCCAGAGAAACAGGGCTATTAACAGAGCCCATTTGAAGACTTCCTGTGGACATGTGGCCATCAGTGATTGAGGCAGGTGATGACAGCTTTGCTCACTCCTGTGAGTCAAACCACTGACCGGTTACTCACTTTATTTCTCTAATACAACCTTTCCTAAGAGACATTATAACCTATGCTGTGTTCTGAGGCAAGGTTAAAACTAGTTTTTAGTGGAACTCTAAGGGAGAAGTGAAGATAGTTTGTCAGAGTGGTCCTTCCATTGGATGCTGGCTTGCTTGAAGTGAATACAGATATTTAGCAGGGGTGGCCACCCTCTGAGACAGGCTGTACCCTGGGCTCACAGGGAAGGTCTCCATTGCCAAAAGTCCGCAATTCTTCTAGTAACCTGTAAGATAGTGGTCACATATCCCAGTATACAAATAGGTCATTTGAGGCTCAATGTGTACCCGAGGCTCATAATCAGTGAGGGACACTCATCCACTGTTGACAGATGTCCAAACTCACACATATAAACATGGGTGTTCTTGCTTTTGTTTGTTTTGACACCAGGATGTCTTAAATAGGAGATCTGCTTAGGTTATTGCCTCTCCATAAATATGAAGGAAAACAGGGTACATGCAGACTAATTACTACCTGTCCATGCTAGGAGCCTGAAGCTTCCACAGGGATGGAGTATGGAGCCCTAATGCCCAGGACTTGGGTGTTTCCTTTGCTTTTGTTCTCCATTCAGTGCTCCCGGAACTGCAGTGGAGGCTTTAAGATCCGCGAGATTCAGTGCATGGACAGCCAGGACCACCACCGGAGCCTGAGGCCATTTCACTGCCAGTTCCTGGCTGGCATTCCTCCTCCACTGACTATGAGCTGTAACCTGGAGCCTTGTGAAGAATGGCAAGTGGGGCCCTGGAGTCAGGTAATGCACCCCAGAGGATATACAGCATCACAGAGATTGGGTCTAATAGACCGTTAATTGTTATATCAACACTAGTCTAGAAGTTGCAGAAGACCACACTGGAACCATACCAGGGATTCAGTTCCATTTAGTGACAGCACAGTATGGGGGAAACAGCAGATCAAAACCTTGCGGGAACTGAAAAATGCACTGGGAAAATGATATGGTGTACTGTCAACTATGACAGTGCAGTGTTTTATTAGAACTTGGTCTCACAATGGAAATATTGGATAATTAGGGACCCTGCCGGGGACATGAGCACAATGAAATGATTAAAAATACACTACTTTGATGAGCTATTTATAATAGCCTCACACACCTGTCTAAGCCTTCTTCAGTCAGCCTGGGAATAATAAGGAGATCCTTCTCACACCATACAATTTTAGATTCCTATCTCAATTAAATACCCAGATGATTGTTTGCACAAATGGAAGAGACTGCGTATGTCTCCTTAATGAGAGGATTAGCTCTGCTGGATATTGGTGTCTAGACCATGAAAGAAAGGTTATTTTCCTCTGCTAAAGCATGATAGTTTCATTTTCCAATAGAAAATTAAATCAATAGCTAAAAAAATACTCACAGGTATACCCATGCATAGTCCAAAGATAAGAAGCCAAGGCTATAAGGTACTGTGAGTGTGTCCATTGCGAAATTTTATCTATTACCTACTTTAATTCTCACAGTGATATGGGCAGTAGGACTTATTCATTCCATCTTATAAAAAATATATCGATTGGAAAGTATACAACTAGAAAACAAATGATAAAGTATTTATTCAAATGTAAAGCAGACTCTAGTATCTGCCTGCCCCTCCATAGAACGTGGCCCAGTGAGGGCTGAGCAGAGTGAACTGGGGTAGAAAGACTGAGCATTGACTGCTTTAGGGAAACCTGCAATGTACTCAGAAGGGAAGCAGAGGTTCACAGCCTGAAGACACAGACAGTTAGCACAGAAAGTTGGTTCCTCTGGGACCTCCTGTGTCATGCTGGGCCACTAACATACATTGACTCCTAGGTCTAAGAACCACTATGTGGTATTCTGAGGGTCCTACTGTTCTCTATTTCCCCTCCTTCTCTGCCTTGCTCAACTCTAGATATATACATATATATGTATATGTATGTATGTATATATGTATATATTTGTTGCTTCCATGTGTGGACCTAGGCCTCCAGGTTACTCTCATATGTGAAGCCTAGTCTGGACCCCTTCAGGTAAATCTTGAAGACCCTGAAAAAATATATAGAGAAGCTGAGATTCCCAGGTCAAGAAACAGTGTTTTCAGGCTATCAAAAATGACTAGCCAAAGGTCAGGAGTAGTGGCACATTCCTTTAAGCTCAGCACCTGAAAGGCAAAGAAAGGCAAACTTCTGTGAGTTGGAGGCTAGCCTGGTCTACATAGTGAACTACTGGCCTGCCAAACTATGTAATGAGACTCTGACTCAACAATCCCACAATGATAATCTACCAATCAGCTCTCGTTTATTACAGAAAAGACAGTATCTGTATTTCCTCAGTAGTAGCTGCAATATCAACCTGTCCTCTGAAGGCCTCCCACATCAACCTTTCTAAACATCTTTATCCTGAGAAAACCAGAGTTGGGAAACTTCTCTTTGAAGACACAGTGGAGATGAGAACTGTAACTCCTGGAGCAGTTTGGGGATTATATAACTTTAGATGCTTTCACTGACCTGTCATAATGCCGCTCTAATGGCTTGCCCTCCTGAGAATTTTGGGGCCCACTTGGGAAATGTCAGCCATCACAGACTAGTTAAAGGGCTGATACGTTTTACTAATGGCAACATCTATATCAGTAGTAGTCAAATGTTAGCATACTTCAAATCATCTGCTGAATTTGTCAACACACAAAGATGTGGGATGATCCCAAGAGGATCCAAGTAGGGATCTCGAGGGGGAACTCTGAATCTATATCTCTTCCCTATGAGAGGATGCTGACCCTGCTGGTCTGAAAAGCTCCAATCTATAGTAATGTTTATCTTCTTTTCCTTCTACCTGGTCAAATGGCCCTGAATCCATTTGTATATATTCAGAGCCGCAAGAATCTAAAGATTGAATTTTACTTTGTTCCTCAAATAGGGCTACAAACAGATTGAATAAACAGGGGTTGGAAATCTAGGTTGATTCTCAAGGCTGGAATCTTCTGAAGACAACATGTTATGTCTTTTATTGGGCATATGTGGCCAACTATAGAATTTTCCTGTTTCCTGTGATACCACCATACACATAGTGCCTCATAAGATGAAGTTGACATTGATAAATTAACCACAGTTTGTTGTTGTTATAACTGTGTCATAAGTAGGCATCTTCAAGGCACTCTCACTGTTTTGGAATTATTACTTTTCAAATATTATTAGTGAATTAATTTCCTCTTGGAAACATCATACAAATGAAAACCATGTACCATATGAAACCATTCTGATAAGCAACAACCTGACATTTTTAGACGTGCATCCTTAAAAAAAATCCACCTTGCTGTCTGAGTATCACTACCCATGTATCACAATCTTCAGCAAGCCCATCAATGTTACTACTAAAAGAAGCTTCCTTCCATTCGAAAACCTTGTGGAGTGGGAAAGGAGGGCTGTCACGTTTCAATAGGAAGCAAACGATGTGTATTCTCCTTGCAGGGTGACAGAGCTAATCATATTGTTTTTAAACTTTCTGCAACTTGATGTTCCATGGCTGGCTGGTATACATGGGAGGCCTGCCCTCTTCTAAAGACACAGCAGAAGTGAACAGGGGTAGGGATAGGTTGGTGGGGAGGGGTTGGGAGGTGAGAAGGCAGGGAGGGGAAACTGTGATTGGTCAAGGGAAATTAATGAATTAAAACAAATATATAATTTTTGTATTTATGTGTATAGGTGTTTTGTCTGCACATATGTCTGTGTACTGCAGGTGCTTCTGGTGTATGCAGAGGCCAGAAGAGGGAATCAGATCCCATGGAACTTGAAGTTCAGACAGGGCAAACCATTGTTTGGGTGCCGTGAATCGAACCTGATTCCTCTGAAAGAGCAGTCAGTGCTCTTAACTGCTGAGCCATCTCTCCAGCCCCATAATCACAAATTTTAAAATCTAAAATGTACATTTTTGTTACCAAAAACTTGTGCCAGAAAGCAAAACTGATGATACCCTGTATGTTCCAGAATATTTGATAGGCAGACAACCTAACATCTATTCTGAAAGACCGTTCCTTTAAGGAACATGTGACCGTGTTCCAGGTTCTAATACCAATACCAACTTCTCCAGAACACAGCCAAAATGATACCAAAAAGTTTGCTGCTATCATTGAACTGGCCACCACCTATTTTTCACTGCCCGTCCATGCTGTGTGTCAGTGTTCTAGGTCCTGTGGAGGCGGCGTTCGGGAGAGAGAAGTATCTTGCCCAGGAGGCCTCTGTGACTGGACAAAAAGACCTGCCTCCACTGTGCCCTGCAATGGGCACCTTTGCTGCCACTGGGCCACCGGGAGTTGGGACCTGGTAAGAGTTGGTTATAGGTGCCTTGTTCTACCCTGGCTTTACATTTAGTATATTTATTAATATGTTATTATTATCATCATCACTAGTAAGAAAATTTATAGCACATTTTGAAACATTCTAAATTTACAGATCTCTTTGCATGAAAATTTATTGCTAAGATTGGAGACTATTGAACTGAATGGAAAGGGCATGTTTAATGTCTTTATGGAGATTGTACATGTTTGTTTTATATTAATTCTTTGAGATTTTTCATACAATGTATCATGATTATATTCGCTCTTGACACTTCCCCTGACTCCTCTGAGATCCAACCCTTCTTCCCCACCTCACCCCCTATACTTCATGTTCTCTTTTTACTCTTCTAAAAGAGACTACCTCACAGCAGAATTCCAGGTCCTTTGTGTTGTAATTTAAGAAAAGCATCGAGTGAAAGAAAGATGCTATGAGACAGGGTTCAAGCAGAGGTTTGTTTGTTGTTTTTGCTTTGTTTTTTAAATAGGAAAAGGGATCATAAAAAGGGGAAAGGGGGAGACTGGCCTCTGGGGACAGGAGCAGAAGAGAGGAATGAGGGAGAGGGAGAGAGGGAGAGAGAGGAAGAGGGAAGGAGGGAGGGAGGGAGGAAGGGAGGGAGGGAGGGAGGGAGGGAGGGAGGGAGGGAGGGAGGGAGAGGGGGTGGATGGGAGGAGGGCAAGGCCCTTTTAAAGGGAATGTAGTGAATGTGCACAGGTGGTGCTCTTAGTGACTGCAGCTGAGGGTGTATCCTGTCAGAACCCCAAGGCCAGGCCGGTACAGATGCCTGAATACTAACATTCCTCCCTTTTTATTCATTATAAAAGGTGATGAGTTAGAAGTGGGTAGCAGGTGAGGCAGGGATGAGGACACCGTGTTCTCAAGACTACTTTCTGCTGACCTTGGAGGTGTCGTTTATCTTTAGGGGACCTGAGAAACTTGGGGTGCTAGACATGCTAGACACATCCTGGAGTAGATGGGTGTTTCACTTCACTGTCCAAGCTCTTCTGAACCATCCAGTGCCTTCTTGGCCTTGCAAAATGTGTTCTTGGTGGATGCAAATCGACTCCCTGGGGCTTAAAGCACTGGATCCTTTCCCATCACCACAGCATCACCTGGACATGTTTAGTAGCCTTTTGCCTCCAGCTCTATGGCCAACAGCTGGTAGTGCTGCAACAATAGCTGCTTAGAAATGGTCAGTGGGTCTCCAAAACACATCCTGATGGGAGCAAGGAGGTGTAGATGACACAGCTCTCGTGAGTGAGGCAGAGAAGTAAGACCCAAGGGTCTGCAATTCCTAGTGTCCCAGGAATTCAGAGAGGGTCGATTTCCAGACAGGCACAGGCTACCCAGTGAGTCGTCACTCAAAGGGTAGGGCTCTGAGCTTGAGAGAGACACAGTCACCTGGTACCAGGACTTTGAGAAAAGCCAGAAGGTTAGGAAAGGACTGTGCTGGAGAAAGGAAGCCTCACATCTAGGGGAATGGTCAGCAGTGGATAGAGGCCCAACTGTTGTTGGTATCGAGGAGAAAGCAAAGCCATCAGCAAACAAGAAAACAGATCTGTTGCAGGTGGAAGGGAGTAGATCTATTGAGGGTGGAGCAGGTGGATAGGGTCACAGCGTGAAGTGGTTACAGAGTGCTGGGCAGTGGATTTTCGGTGAGCTTATTCCTAGTGAGTGAGGCAGAACAAGATCCAAAGGCTCTTATCAAGTGAGGATAGAGCGAGAAAGGCATAAGCTGCCTCAATCAAGGGACAGGAGCCGAAAAACCTGAGGGTCCGAGAAATGAGACTGGCACGAGCCACCCAGTAGGTCGGCACACAAAGGGTGGAGGCCAAGGGTTCAGAGCCGAGAGATCCCTAGTTGCCTGTACTAGGACTTAAAAGTGACAAACGGCGAGAACCGCACTAGAGAGACGAGATGAGTCCTCACTCTTGGGAATAGCCTAAGGTAGGGAAAGCAGACTGGCTCACCAATTATGCGATTTTGAATGGAAGGACCCAGTGATCCGGAGAAGCTAGGCTGTTACATGTGAACTGGGTTCCAGGGTCCTAGCGTGACTCAAACTGCCTGTGGGCAGGAGGAGATGCCAGGAGAACCTTCCTTGTCACGGAACCAAAGTTATGATTTAAGAAAAGCAGCGCAAAAGAAAGATGTTATGAGACAGGCTTCAAGGGAAAGGGTCATTAAAAGGGGGAAATGGAGGGGGAGACCGGTCTGTGTGGACAGGAGCAGCAGGAGAGAGAGGAGGAGGGAGAGAGAGACAGAGGGAGGGAAGGGGGAGAGAAGGATGGGAGGTGGTCAGGGCCCTTTTAAAAGGGAACATAGTGGATATGCACAGGTGGTGCTCTTAGTGACTGCAGCTGAGGGTGTATCCTGTCGGAACCCCAAGGACAGGCCAGTATAGATGCCTGAATACTAACACTTTGGCTCTTATACACTTCTACAATGTTCCCCTAGCCTTAAGTGTAGGGGTTATGTTGTAAGTGCACTAATTGTGGGCAGGCATCCTACAACTGGTTGAGCTCTGAATTTCTTCAGTTGCAGCCTTCTGTAATTATCTTCTATTGCAAAAACTATGGTTCTTTGTTGAGGAACAAGAGCTAAACTCATGTGTAAACATAAGGAAAAGTACTTAAAGTGTAGTTAGCAATCATTCTGCTTTAGGAAAATGACAGTAGTAAGCTCTCATCTAGAATCCAGTGCCTTACCAGCCAAGGGTTGATTAAATTTACAGTGTTAAACAAAGATTCCCTCCTATTGATCAGGTCTTAAGTCCAATCACACAGCTGTTGGTTACCCTCAGGATATAAGTGCCTCTGTTGTCCTTTCAAAGTATCTTCCTATGCTAGGTTCATTTGGATAGGACTATTGACCGCTCTTCTCTCGTGTCAGCTTGAATAGTTCCTCTGAAATGGGGGCTAGTCCTCAGCTAGAAGGCTATTAGGTCAGATCCAGATACGTTCTTCCAAGTCCTTTGTCAAAAGTATGTGATGTCTTCGGCAACAGGATCTTAGCTTCTTTTTCTAGGAGGAATCAAAAGCAACAGCAATAGTGCATATTCTTTGAGAGATTTCCCATGGTTGACAGTCTATATATAATCCCATTTCCCCCTTCATAGCAACTGTGTCTTAATTTTTAATTATACATCTGCATGTGTGTCTACATATGGGTGTGTATGCTTGAATGCCGTTCCCTTGGAGGGCAGAGGTATAGAATACCCTAGAGCTGGAGTTACCTGATGTGGGTGCTGGGCTTTGAATTTGAGTCCTCTGGAAGAGCAGAGGATTTGTAACCAGCCCCTATACCTTACGTTCAATATCAATATTCCTTTGGATTTGTGAACGTAGACTTTACTCACTGACCTGTGACATGTTTCCATGCATTTCCCTTTCATTGCTCTTTGCCTATGTACCACTTCCTGGTCTGCTAAAGTGGCCTCATAGCTGCTCTGGGTCCATGTTCTTTATCTGGAGTTTAGAAGAGACAAAATAATATCAAATATTTTCAAAAGAGAAAAGATCAAATAACAAAAATATTCCAGAAGCACAAGGCCTAAGGAGAGGTTACTTTGGGTCCCAAGTCCTTGGCTTTACTATCTTTTTTTTTTTAGACCCAAATATAGTATCTTATATCTCAAAGCTGTAGGTTTTAATCTTTGTAAGTTTAAGCCTTTCTTCTGTCCACAAAGCAGTTTGCCAGATGGCCAGAACGTTTGATGGAGAAGTAAACAAAATAATTAAACTGTAACTCAGAACAAGATTTACTGTCTCCCAAAGTTCAGTTGTTGCATAAATAACACTGTCTCATTAATGATGGGGGGAATGAAAGTTCCCTATCCCATAGAAAAATTCTGCTGTTGCTATGACTTGTTCTACCTGAGTTCTATAGGAAATTGATTAATGATTAATGTGAGAGAGCTCAGCCCACTATGGATGGCACCGACCCTGGGCAGGCAGTCCTCAGCTGTGTAAGAAAGCAAACTGAGAAAGCTCCAGAGAAATCTAGTAAGCATCACTCTTCCTGCTTCAGTTCCTGGCCTGGATTCCCTGGATGATGGACTGAAGTCTGTAAGCCAAACAAACCCTTCCCTCCCGCAAGATGGTTTAGGTCAATGTTGATCACGTGACCAGGAAACCAAACTAATACACTTGGTTTTTATGAAACAATCTTATTTTACAGATGAAGAAAAAGAAAGGAGGATTAAATTATTTAGGATGATAACAGCCAGAAATCCCAATTCCCATAAACCCTAGTCCAGGATTATCCAGAGTCTGGCTTTATTATTCTCCATCTTTCTTCCTTCTGGCCTCTGTTACAGACTTTTATTGATCCTGAATGTTTTATCTTAGTAGATATTTCATTGTTTCTTACCAATACCTGTGGGAGATTTGAGGTGAACTGACTGATTAAAATTATCTTCAGATATAGTCACAGAAAACTGACTTTCTAATTCAAACGTGAGACCCCCATGCTGCTCACGATTATGCTTCATGATTCATATACATTAAATGAGTAAACATTAAGAAAAAGTCCCATCTGTCCTACTATTGCCTCTCTATGTGGTCTCTGTGAGAAATGAGGTTTTGTTAGCTGTATTCAGAGTTGATTGGTGGTATCCCAGGCCTGGAAATTCTCTTAACTAGTGTTCTGCATCTCCAATAATATTTCAAGTGGCAAGTGGATTCTTCTAAGTTTAATAACTTTTCCCTTCAGCCACCTTTTAAGCGAGTTAGACAGTTTGTATTCATTGAAAATCATACTGATTGCTGTGACGCGTGAAGAATGGGGAACTTGGTTTTGTCCTAGGAAGTTTTGCTCATAGAAAAAAGACAAGTCTAAAAAAATAACAAATTGTGGTATAAAATAAAAAAAAACATAGGTGTGTATGTGCATCACAGTAGCCAAAACATGGAACCAGCTCAAATGTCCCTCAATGGATGAGTGCAAAAGCAGTGTGGAATAGATATAAATGGAACATTATTCCACATTGGAAAGGAAATCTACACACTGCAACACAGATGAACTAGAAGTAATTATGCTAACTGGAACAAGTTGGTGACAAACAGGCAACTACCTTATTCTACTTAATGAGATTCCCACAGTGATCAAAGGTGATTAAAAAGACATAATGCTGTTTTACAGGAGCTGGAGTAGAGATGGAAGATAAGTTGTTTTCAAATACAGTTTGCTAAGATGGAAAGGCTCAATAGAGGTTTTGTACACACTGAGAATGTCCCTAAGGCTGCTGCACTGTGTACTTAACATGTCTTAGAATAAAGCACGGTGTGGTGGCACGCCCCTGGAACACCAGAACTTGGCAGTTGTGGAAGCAGGATGATCTGGAATTGAAGGCCAGCTGAGCTACATAAGAAGACCCTGTCTCAAAAGCAAAACAAGAAAGAAAGTGTGTGTGTGTGTGTGTGTGTGTGTGTGTGTGTGTGTGTGTAGGCTTAAAATAGTAAATCTTATGGGTTTTCTTTGTATTTTACCACATATAAAATAATTCAAGAAAATAGCCACAACTTACATTTTTAAGAATTTCCTCAAGGAACTTGCTTCCTTAAGCCAGAGACTCTGAGTCCCGCTGCAGCGGCCATTACAGTGGTATCTTACATGTCGGTAGAGCTAGAGATCAGTTATGGTCCAGAAAGTCTGAAAATCAAAGACTTGTAGACCCATTTCTTCCCTATATACACTGTACTCTTTATTCAGCCCAATGTTTATTTCCTATTGGTTTTTCTCTCCATCTTCCTAAAAGTGTTATCCCTTCTACATACGCTTGGTCTCTAGTCCCAAATCAGTATTAGACCAGAGAAACTGGAAAACACCATGGCCTTTTCACATCATGTATTCATAATGTCAAGAAGAATATTTGTCATATTTTCACAATGTCAAAATAAGTATTTGGGTTGAGAGTTTTAAGCAGAATCCAGACTATGCCCTACGAACCATCTTTCATCCTCCTTCCTCCACCCCACTATCATCATTTTCTTATTCGCCTATTGCTTGGGAAGAAATGTAGCCAACCACACTCACTTTTACACTGTTCACTCTAAAATTGAATCTCTTACTGTGTCTGTTACAAATTACTAAGGATGTGACCAACTGGCCCACCTTGATTCCAGTACCTTCTCCCGATTGAGTAAAGTATGGTAGGGTTGGCATGCCTTGTGGTACTAGCATGGATATTTGGATCCCAATTTTGTAGCTGTGTGATAGGACCAGGAGAACACTCTCAAATATGGGAAAGAGGACCACATTCTACAGAGAACCCATTAGTACATTAAGATAAAGTCATTCCAGCAGTCTCTAGCACAAGGTTATTCCCAAACTCACATCATGGCTTGATTTGCATTTCAACTATGGCAAAGCTGTGTTTTGTTACAGCTTGATCTCACAGTGGGCCTAGATCCAAAGGGCTCTTGGTGATTTTCTCTGGCTTTCTGTCATTTGACTGGTGGGGTGAGAGATGCTCCCTTGGTAGTCCTGGGGAGGAACTGCGACTCTTTCTGTGTCTCCTTTTCAGTGCACCACTTCCTGTGGCGGCGGTTTGCAAAAGAGGACTATCCATTGTATCCCCTCAGAAAACAGTACAACTGAAGATCAGAGCCAATGCCTCTGTGACCATGAAGTCAGACCCCCAGAATTCCAAAAATGCAACCAGCAAGCCTGCAGGAAGAGTACTGGTAGGTGACTGGGTTGCTCAGGTGGGGCAGGGCTGTGGTGGTGGAGACAGTGTTGCATGAGTAAGTCATCCTTCATGATTCAGATTGTGAATGGTTTTCTAGACCGTTTTGCTGAACAACAACAACAAAATCTTGATGCTGAAGAGGCTAGACAGGAATTGTGAGAGCAGGTTATATGATTTAATAAGTCCTGATTGATTAGCACATCTGATTTCCTGTCTCAGAGAATATTTACACTGATGTTACCCCACACAGATATGAATTTATTTTTTTTCCAAAGACTGAAAGATGTTCTAGCCTTTCTCATGAATGCATCCAAGTACAGAATGATCTGTAAATCTAAGTTTACTGACTTAGGTCAGGTTACCTAGAAACAAGTTCTGAAATATATATCTCAGTGGGCAAGAGGAGTCCAAAGAGGAAGTGCTGAGCAGTGAACAGTCAGCATGGCCCTGTTGCATTCAATTCACTTTCAAAAGGGTCTGGTTCATGTTAGAGTGGCATAGCACTTACCCACCATGTTCATGGCCGTGGGTCAGATCTCCAGCATTGCCTAACATTTCTGAAAATGAAGCATCTGATATAGTCACTTGGATCACTGTAAGTGTACCTCACAGTTGCCTGGGGAAGTTACCCATGATATATTTGTGACATACATGAGTCGATAGCAGAACCCGGGTCTGCTTTTCACTCCTTGTATGCCACATGTCATCAGAGGAGAGGTTCTAGCTTTGAAAATGGGCAATAGTAGTTTTCGATTCAGGGAGGTAACTTTCCATCTACATAACTTTATGAAGTTATTGAACTCTATGTTGTATGTTACTTTGGGGTCTAAAGAGGGAAAATAACTCAAACCTTAGAGACTTCTTGTGAAGATTTTAACTATGTATGAAGTGTACTTTAAAAGACAAATGCTGAACCTGAAGACACAGCTTAGCAGTTCAGAGCACTTGCAGAGGACTCAGGATTGGTTTCCAGCACCCACAATGGGGGCTCACAGCTACCTGTAACTCTAGTTCCAGGTGATCCAATGTCCTCTTCTGGCTTCCACAGGCCCCTACATGTACATGATGCACATAAACTTAAGCAGGTATACACACACACACACCACGCACACGCACACACACACACTCTCACACACGCACGCGCACACACATCAAAATAATAAATATGTTTTTAAAAAAGATAAATGCTTAGTCAGCCATGGTGACATATGCCAATAATCCAGTACTCAGGGGTATGGGACTGGGAGCTAAAGGTCAGCCCAAACTAGCTAATGAGACCCTGTCTCAGAAGACAACTACTTCATCCTTAAACAGTTGTTACTTCCTTCAGACAAGTTACTGCATGTCAATAGACTGAAAAGTCCTTATCTATAAATAAGTATATTCAAACAAGCTTTTATGTCCATTTTACTGATATTTTCAGCTCCATTGGTTATAGAATCTCTAAATTAAAGACCTGGAGAAGGGCTAGAGAGATGGCTCAGTGGACAAGAGCACTTGCTGTGCAAACATGAGAGTTTGGATCTAACCTCATCTGGGAGAACCTGGAGAAGTTTCAAATTCTGGAATACTCAGGAGAAAGGCTAGATTAATCTAAGTCAAGGACGCAAACTCAAGGAAAGCTATGAAATGACAGAGCTTGAGAGGCAGGCTCAAGCTCATGTAGTAAAAAGTACATGTCTCACACTGGTGGATTTCCACTTCTTCTTCTCTGAGATGTAAAGGAGCTGTTGGAGTATCCAAAGGAGGGGAGTAAAGGAAATAAATTGTTTCCAGCATGTCCAACAGTGTCATCCTTGTTCAACTCAAGTTATCATCCTTGTTCAGGTCAAGTTTAAGAAGTCATGTTGGTGAGACTCCATAGATGTAAATTCTGACATTACTGGAAGACACACTGTCACAGCAAACTCCATGAACTGACTCTAACAGTCTTTCTGCCCCTTCTTCCACAATGTTCCTTGAGTCTTAGGTGTTTGCCAACATTGATTGGAAAATCCCGTGAAGCCTTAACCATGTACAAAGAAGTACTTGCAACTGAGAGATGCTCAGAGTGGGAAAAATAGCCTTACTCAGGGAAGAGCACACTGATTGGTTATTCAAACTCAAGTGGTCAGCCCTGAAAACAGACACTGCAAGTAACATTATACAGACTGAGCAGGCTATATTTAGAAATATATCTGTATTTATATATACATGTATGCATGTAATAACAATTAATGCAAGAAGAATCCATGAGTTTGAAAGAGAGAAAAGAGAGGTATATAGGGGTCAAGTTAAAGGGAAGAACAGGAAGGGAGAAAAGTTATAACTATAAACTCAAAATATTTTAAAGGAAAGAAAAAGGGAAAGAAAGAAAGAGAGAGAGAAAGAAAGAAGGAAAGAAAAAAGAAAGAAAGAAGAGAAAAGAAAAGAAAGATTCCAATTAGGAGACTGTAGTTTACTCCATGTAAAGGGTACATGGGGAATGAACAGCTGAAGTACAGACAGAAAGAAAGAAATAAAAGATCGGGCTGCTATTTGCAAGCGTCTGGAGTGTGTGGCAGGAGGAAGAGAGAAAAGCCAGTGCCTGGATTTCTTAGCTCGGTAACAGAGACAATGAGGGTACTGTGTCAGGGTGGGATTGGGAATGACTGAAAGTCACATGTGTGTGGGCTAGGACATGTTTGTTAAGGGCTTTGTTAATTCCTTGGGTCAGAGTGGCCTGTGCTTTGTTTACTATGTAGGTGTGGAGGCCAGGAGAAGTCTGCGTTGGAAATCCTGAGTCCTGGGGGATAAATACTGTACATTTGACTATAACCTGCAGCTTCTTTCTGATCTTTGCACTTGAGGGCGGCTTCTGTTGTCCCCTGGAAATAGACAAAGAAACCAGTGAGGGCTCTTTTACAGAACTGCCAAACTCATACTACTCAAAGTGTGGTGCCTGGACAAGCTGAATCAGTGTCTGCCAGGGGTTTGCTGCAAATAGTGGATCTCAGACTGTGATCATCCCAAACCTACTGGATCAGACCAGGCCCTGAAACATTCCATGGATGATCCAGGTGCCTGTTAGAATTTGAAGGGCATTCTACCATAGATTAAGGAGCCAATTTGGAGATCTTCTTTTGATTTCATCTTATAACTTGCTATTAAACCATGGTTTTAAAATGTTGACACTATTGAACCCCTCCTATGATGTAGTTTTATAAAATGAAAGCCACCATCTGGTCTACTTTGATCATACCTGTTATGGGTTATCTTTAACATATGTAGATTATTTTTAACTGTCCTAATGATGGACAATAAAATATTCACTAACCAAAACTGAACTAAATGTAAAGATTATACTTTTCATCTTGAATCTCAGACTGAATAGACTGTGACTAAAAGTTAGCTGGCAGCTGCTGTAAATAACAATGAATTTCACTCACCAGTAATTACCAGGGCAACCAAAGTTAATTACTAGCTTCGTGCTTACTCAGAGAGAGGCATCAGGAAAGAACAGTTGCAAGAAATTCTTTGACTTAAGAAGCCAATCACCTATCCTGATCCCATATACACCAAGAAGCTTTGAAACCAAATTATTCAATACCAATATTCTTCCCAGTTAGGCATCATAATAAATACCCTATATCCATTATGTAAGATCTAATATGAGTTCACACAAGACACCTAGGCCATTTTACTTCCTTTACCTACCATCTGAATTTTAAAGTATTTTTAAGATTAATATAATTTCATGGTTTCCCCCTTTCTTTCCTCCCTCTAAACCTTCCAAAGTACACCCACTTTCTCTCTTCCAAATTCACAAAATTCCTTTTTCTTTAATTGTTGTTACATGTGTGATATATAAAAGTAAAACCTGTTCAGTCTGTATGCCACCTGCATGTATGTTTTCAGGACTGACCACTTGGTATTTGATACCCAGTTGGTGTCTTCTTCCCTGGAGAAGACTATTTCTCCTGCTCTCAGCATTCTTTTGTTGCCTGCAGTTCTTTCTGTAGAGTTGAGACCACCCTTGCTTTCCCCTGCTCATTGTGGGGGAAGAGTCAGGAGGTTGCAAGAACTAGAGGAACAGGTGTGAGATTCTGACATCTCCTAGGCATATAAAGTTACACTCATCCATCTGAATTTTAATGACTTAAAATATAAATTAAAACAAACATGTCAGATTATAAAACCTTTTACAAACAGGTAGAGTTTGGAGTTTTGTTTTTTTTTTTTTCAGGTTCAAAGGGCAAATTTTTTTTATTTTATTTTCCAGTTTAAATTTAGATAAGAATCAAGGTTGCTTCACAAGTCAGTTCCAGGTCCCTCTCCCATTCCCTCCCTTCCTCCCGTGCCCTCCCCCCCCCCCCCCGTTATACTCTCATTTCTCCAGGGAGGGTGAGGCCCTCCATGGGGGTGTCCATAGTGTGTCATTTCATATAGGGCAGGGCCTAGACCCTTTCCCAAGAGTTCTGGGTGAGAGTGCACCTCTCATTGTTCTATTGGAGTCCAAAGTCCGTGTGTATACTTGGGATGGGTACTGATCTGCTGCCCAAGGCTCAATAGATTCCCTAGGCCTCTTCACTGACACCCAGATTCAGGGGGTCTTGATCAGTCCCATGCTGGCTTCCCAGGCTAATGCCTGGGATTCAAGAGTTAACCTTTGTCTGGTCAGCTGTTTCTGGGGGTTAAACCAGCCCAGTCTTAATCCCTTTGATCATCAGTCCTCCCTCTCTGTTACTGGCTTTCTCGTGTTCAGCTGAGTACTTAACCAAGGGAGTCTGCCTCTTCTTCGATCAGCCACTAAATAAAGTTTCTGTTTCCCAGACTCTCTGGCCATAGGATTGTAGGCTGGCACTCGCCAGATCTATGTCTAAAATCCATATATGAGAGAGTACATGCCATGTTTCTCTTTTTGTGACTGGGTTACCTCACTCAGGATGGTTTCTTCTAGTGTCATCCATTTGCCTGCGAATCTCATGATTCCATTACTTTTTTCTGCTGAATAGTACTCCATTGTGTAGATGTACC